CAAAGGCGGCCTCTATAAGTAATATGAAGAGAGGCTACTTTTTTTTTTTTAATGTTTATTTATTTTTGAGAGAGAGAGCGCGAGAGAAGGCTCCAGAGAGAGCCTATTTTGAGAAAGAGAGACAAAGAATCTGAAGGAGGCTCCAGGCTCCAGGCTATGAGAACCTGATGTAGGGCTCGAACTCATGAACTGCTAGATCTTGACCTGATTCAAAGTTGGACGCTCAACCGACTGAACCACCCAGGCGCCCCTGAAGAGAGGCTACTTTTAGATGGAAGGAATGCAAAGGAGTCATTTGGAGGAAGGCTCTGGGTAGCAGTGAGTGTTCCCCGCTGACTCAGGCAAGCACAGAGTCAGTCTGCTCAGAGATATGTCTCTCAAATTAAGAGCCATTATAATTTTAAAATGACAAAGGAACACAGGGATGACAGAAGTAAGAGAGGAAAGAATGTTTTCCTCAAATGTTGACATGGAAGAGGAAGAAAATTTCACAGAGAATCACCATATCCATTCTTAATCTTTTTGTGCAACCTTAGATTTTAAACGAGTTTATTTTCTACTCACACGCCTGAAATGGTCATCTCAAATGTAGAACCACTGAAATGGTTTAGTCTTTCCAAGTAAGCCAGAAATAAGTGTCAGTGAAATGGACGCCTACCTAACCTTAGGGAAAATATGGGCTTTTTGCTTTTTTACTCTCCATTGAGGATTGAAATTAGTTTTATTACAGAATTAGTCTCCAAAGTTTAGTGGAATATATGTTTTACTTCTGGTATGACTGGTTCAAAATGTTTCATGAGAAAGAAGAAAGAAGAGAAAATTCCAGCTAGTGAGAGACAGTGGTTACTCTTCAGCTTCCCATCTGCTGGTTTATCCCAGAGACAATACAGAATAAGAAGAGGCAAATAAACTTCACAGAAACCGTGCCTATGGCATAACCTGAAGACAGTGTTGGGAGGAAGACCTTTCCTGCCATGTGGTTCTTCTAGCTGGACTTAGATCAAATTGGCATGAGACACATTAACAGGAGAAAATCACATCTACTAGGAGTACATACAGGGAGTCCACACAAACCAGGAGTTCCAAAAACAGTGAGGCATCGTGATGTTTCCGGGAGCTCAGGACTGGGGTCAAGTTGGAGGACAGGAAGCAGACACAGAGGACATGAAGGCCATTAGCAGGAAGGTGAGAGGAGATGTTTGGGAAAACAGGGCTGCTCTGTTACACAGATGAGTTCCTTTGCTGGAGAGGAATCTCTGTTAATATCTCTTCCTGGTACAAGCAGGCAATTGAGGGGGAGGTAAAGAGCTTTTCCTGAATCTGCTGGGTTTGGATTGATTTTACTCAGAATAATGTTCATGACAAAGTGGCCCATCTTGGGGCAGCCTGCCCTTGGCCCCTAGGTGACCAAAGTTCACCTAGGGGCGTGAGGTGACCAAACAGGAGGTGACCAAAGTTCAAAATAACCGCAAGAGAAAATCCTACTAGATCCTAATGCAAGTTCTCACATCCTGCTCCCCTGCCCTCCTCCACCCTGGCCTGCTCCAGAACAAGCAAGGACAGAGCAAGAAAAACTACGGGAGAGAGATCAGAAGAAAACTAGCAAACAGCTTTGGGTTGATCTAAAACTACTGCCAGAAAGACTAAGCTGACCTTCCGTCTGAAAAATCCTAAAGACGGTGCCCCGGTAGATCAGAGCGTAGACAGGACTTGGAAGCATGCACACTTTGAAAAAGTATGCTTCATGATGTGTCTGATCTAGAAAGGCAAAAGTGAAGTGTCTTTTGGCTATTAGCTAGTGAAAGAGAAAAAGAGCAAAAAGGAAAAAGGTTTTGTCTTAGAATAAGGTAGATAACCAACAACTTGAAGGGTCCACAGCCCCATCTCCTGCACCAAGACAGCCAACAGTCCGCTAAAGTGTCTGAACTCCCCATATACAGAAGGGGATGTTAGTGAACTAGAAATCTTGCATAGTAGTAGTAGTAAAATAATAGTAGTCGGAACAGAAAAGAGTTCCCATTGTCCTGCATCCTCACTGGAGTATGGCACAATTATTCCTGTTAATTTTGGCCATTCTCATAGATGTGCAGTGTGCCTTACGGAGGTCATCATTTCCGTCTCTGTTGGCTAATAACATTGAGTGGCTTTTTCTGTGCTTACTTATCATTCATGCTTAAGCATTGGTGAAATGTCTATCAAAGTTTTGCTTATTTTAATTGGATTCTTCATATTATTGGGTTCTTTTTGCTCTTTTTTATTAGATTTTTATTACTGAATATTGTACATTCTTTATTCTGGATACAACTCATTTATCAGATATGTGATTTGCAAACATTTTCTCCAAACTGTGGCTTATTGTTTATTATTTTAACAGTGTCTTTCAAAAAGTGAAAGTTCTTCATTTTGATGACACCCAACGTACCAGTTTTTTAAAATTCATGGATCATGCTTTTAGTGTTGTATCTAAAAATGTTTTTGCTAGTCCGAGTTATGAAATTTATAAGCATGAGGTAGTCTATCATATGCTACTGTCCTTTCAATGCCTGCAGAATCTGTAATGATGTACCTCTTTCTTTCTTGGCGTTAGTAATTTGTATTTTCTCTCTTTTCTGTTTCTAATCTGGGAGAGCTTTATAGATTTTATTGACCTCCTAAAAAAAACTTTGTGTAATGCCGGCACTGGAGAGACATTCATTTCCTTACACCAGTCAATTCAGGTTATATCTGTACATTTTTCCATTCATTCAACAGATGTTCCCTGGGACCTCACAAGTGCAGGCACTGCCCCAGGCATTGGGAAGTGTGTAGAATGCCTTCACAGGACTGCATTCTTGTGAGAGAGACAGATCATAAATAAGACAAATAGGTAAAATATAGATGATGGTGATATGTGGTAAGATGTGGGGAAAAAGCAGGAAGTGGAGACAGAATTTAAAGATTGGGGCTTTACTTTTAAAGCCCCTTGTGAGAAGGTGTCTTTTTTTTTCAAGTTTATCTATTTTGAGAGAGGAAGTGAGTGACACAGGGGCAGAAAGAGAGGGAGAGAGAGAATCCCAAGCAGGTTGTGCACTGTCAGCACAGAGCCTGATGTGGGGCTTGAACCCACGAACCTGTGAGATCATGACCTGAGCTGAGATCAAAAGTCAAATGCTCATCCAACTGAGTGACCCAGGCGCCCCTCCAAAGGAAGTTATACATATTAAAGTAGATTTACAGAATCCTGAGGCGTCAGGCTAAGATGACATTTAGCAAAATGTCATCATCCAGGCAGCTGAGCTCCCAGAGGAAGGTCACTCTGCCTGTTTCAAGGAGTTGTCAATGGGTAGTAAGGAAATTTCATTTTTTTCTTTTACCTTTGTTTCCCACATCAATAACGTCTTGGGGTGAAGAAGGAGTCAATAGTTTAAGGTTATAGGTAGCTGTTTAA